ATGTGGACACAATCTGACCACAAACCAGCCTAGATTGTCCAAAAAAGGCAAGATTTTAGGGTGATCTCAGAGCTGATCTGACCTAGCAGTCACACTCCACCAACTTCCAGACACCCCAAACACATCAACTACTAGGAGGGGTCACAAACCAGTATGATTACACCACAAGGGTTAAAAGATCAGGTCATCCATGACCTACAGATCTGAATTCTCAGACATGGGGTCACACGATCCATAAAAAAAAAGAGGTTCGAACCTCACAGCTGCTCAGAAAACATTCAGCAGTCTGGAGTCATATAGTTTCTTCTTGGTACACAACCAAGGAAAAAGAAAAAAAACACTAAAAAAATCTGTGCCAGTCGTAGGTCTGCACTTTTTTATCTCAGTTGAAGAAGACAGCAGGTTGAAGCTTGTTCAATCTGCTCACAGGCCTAGCAGAACCTGGCTCTGATACCATATTAACAGCCGAACAGAGGAGAAGAGAGGTAGGAGAAGAGAAGAGGAAGAGAGGAGAGAAGAGAAGAGAGAGATTTGGAGTCTGCTACAGTGCTGGCGGCGCCAGCTTATATTAATATATATAGGGCGACCATAATTAGAAGGGAAAGGACCCTTATGCCCCTACTTAAGTTACAGCATAAGAAACAAAAGAAAAAACTGCTTTAATTTGTCCAAACGGACCCTAACTCAGCAGAATACAAACATAATAAATAAATTAACATTCCAATAAGTAGAAAGTCTTTAACATGTAATAAGCACACTAAGTACGATAGAGATGTTGGAAAAAAAATATCCTGGGAAGGCCTATAGTTACTGTTACAGAGAAATACTTTTTTTCAAAATAGACCGTTGGCATAACAAAAACCCCCTGGATGTACTTTTATTGATTGTCTATATATCATTTCTTTTATAGCTCCAGGGATAACATGATGCTTAACAATTATCAGGTGGCAGCATCTCTTAAAGAAAAGTCATAAGGATATAGTTGTGAAACACACCTGCAGTAAATCAGAAAAATATAGAAAACAAAAAGAAAGAAAGAAGAAAAGAAGGTTTCAGCAAAAGCTTGTGGAAGAAGAATTGAAAAGAAGAGAGAGAAAAGAAGATGTCCGATCCCTTCTGTAGTCCCATCAAGATGTCTTTTATTTCTAAATCTAAAACTGAGTACAACTTCTTAGATGCCCTCGTAATAGGGCAGCCAACACTAACTAAAGAACTAATAAAACAAACAAAAAGAGGCCCACAACTAAAAGAACATAAACTTAAAACATAACTTAAAAGAAATAAAACCACTAAGGCCCATTCGGCCCATTCTCACTGCAGATATTTAATTATATGGCATTGACACTAAAAACGAACTTCACTATAGGGTATTTTGATTATGTCAGTAATAATTCTTTCTTTTTCCATTATTCTCTAAGTAGTCGTTTGTTGTTACCTCTATGATTTAGTATGGTCATAGCTGAATATTGTGTAAACCTCTGCTAGAAGTCTCATTTTTTTTTTGGTGTTTGCAAAACATCTGCAGTTATCAGTAATTGGAATTTATGTTTTCCTCTATGGACAACTATACCTCATTCTTAGTGGACTGGAAAAAGCTCTCCTTCTTGAGGCTAGAACACAAAATATAGAATCTCTGGAAACAGCTCTTGCATCCCAGTCTTTTATCCAGCTTGGGCTCTTGACAGGCTTACCAATGGTGATGGAGATTGGACTAGAGAAAGGATTTTTAACAGCCTTTAAAGACTTTATCCTCATGCAGTTGCAACTGGCCGCTGTTTTCTTTACTTTCTCCCTTGGAACAAAATCCCACTATTATGGTCGAACAATTCTTCATGGGGGTGCGAAGTACAGGCCTACTGGTCGTAAAGTTGTGGTCTTCCATGCAAATTTCAGTGAAAACTATAGATTGTACTCACGCAGCCACTTTGTGAAAGGATTTGAACTGCTGCTCCTGTTGATTGTTTACAATTTGTTTAGGCGATCTTATGTGAGCAGTATGACATACGTATTAATTACGTACTCCATCTGGTTCATGTTGATGACCTGGCTGTTTGCACCATTTCTGTTTAACCCATCTGGATTTAACTGGGGAAAGATTGTGGAAGACTGGAAGGAGTGGAATGGGTGGATTAAGAATCATGGAGGTATAGGTGTACACCAGGAAAACAGCTGGGAGTCTTGGTGGAATGATGAGCAGAGCCATCTTCGTCATTCAGGACTTTGTGCTAAGATGATTGAAGTTTTTCTTTCTCTGCGATTTTTCATATATCAGTATGGACTAGTTTATCACCTTGACATATCACAGGATAACAAAAATTTTCTAGTTTATGTGCTGTCTTGGTTTGTCCTTGGTGCCATCTTCCTTTTAGTCAAGGTAATCTTCATCTGTCTAAGAATATGCTTATAATGCAATTCACATGCTTCCATATATAATAGTGAAATTTTAGACATTTAAGTTTACATGGATTTATTAAAAGTTAAGAAACCCCATTTAGGATTCTTTTAACCAAGGATTTCTTTGGAGAACCAAAGAGAAAAGAGTATTATCTTAACCCAACAATACTCTGAAGAGATTCTTATTTATTCTTGAGAATCTTGAACCTTCCGAGATATTTGTGGGTTGTGTTGTTTTAGACTTTAATTCCAATTCCTTGAATGTGCAACACTAATATTGTTATTGTTGTAAAACCTTGGCATGTTCTACAGTACTCAGACATGGAATAGCTACTTGTTAGGATTGTAGATAGCTTGAGTTTTCCAAACAATATGACTTCCACATGCTATACAGGCAATGAACGAAGGGAGGAGACGACTTAGTGCAAATTATCACCTTGGATTCAGGCTTCTTAAAGCACTTCTATTCCTGGGGGTATTATCTATTATAGTTACTCTATCTGTCATCTGTGATCTGTCTGTGATGGACTTAATTGTGTGTTGCTTGGCATTTTTACCTACCGGATGGGGTTTGCTCTCTGTAAGTTCAATTAACAAATAAACAGAAATATAATAATGTGCTCCAGGAATCCTGCTTGATAATTGCATATCTTTTAATGTTTAACTTTTATCATTCCTTCCAGATTGCACAAGCTGTGAGACCTATGATAGAGGATACGGGATTATGGGACTTCGTAATCGTTCTTGCTCAAGCTTATGACTATGGAATGGGTGTTGTGCTTTTTGCACCAATAGCTGTGTTGGCATGGCTCCCCATTATATCAGCTTTCCAGACCCGTTTTCTTTTCTATGATGCTATCAATAGGCGCTTGCAAATTAAACCAATTCTTGCAGGAAGTAAGAAGCATTAGTAAATTTCTAGTTACTAACAGCCGATAAATGTATAAATATGTAAGGTATTATTTGGTCATCATTCCGACCGGATCTCAGGTTGAAATTAGTACCGATATAATGTAAATATCAATTACTTTTATTTAATAAGGGAAATATGTAAGTCATTGTTCTCAGTTTAAAGTGAAAATCTGGAATTTCTACCATTCATCCAGTCTCCGCTGTATTCTAATAATTGTCAAGAGTCCATTGATTTTCTTAGCTTTTGGAAGCTAATGGGTTCATTATTAGTAGATGAAGGGTCTGTTCGTTTGCACTGAAGTCTGATATCTGAATGCCTTTGTAATACTTTTAGAGACATATTGGAATTGGTGTACCTTTTTTGGTTCTACGTCTGAATTGCCAGTTGACTTTTAACACTAGATATGAGAAAACTTGTTTGAATTCTAACAAACTAATTAATTAATTAGTAATAAAAATAATATTAATTAACAAACTAATTAACTAATTACCAATTAATTAAATGAATACAAAATAACTAAAGTAATAAGAATAATAATATTTAATTATTAATTTAATCAATAATTAATATTTTGAATTATAATTGTGATTAATGATTAATTATTAATTAATTGCATAATTCTTTTTAACGAATCGATCATTTAATAATTAATTAATATATTTAAAATGCATAATTACATAATTTATTATTAATGAATTAATAATAATTGATGGTTATGTATTTAATATTTAATTAATTAAAATAATGAACTATAAATAATTGAACAAATAATTAAATAATAATAATTGTTAATATTAACTCATTATTATTATGAGAATTTTTAGTATTGTTAATTTTATAATTAATTATTAATTATTTAGATAATCATTTTTACTAGATTAACTAATAAATAATAAAAATAATGAATTATTTAATAATTTAACATATAATTAAATAATTAAATATTTAAGTAAATAATACATAGATAATTAAAAAAATATTAAAATAAAAGCAATAATAATTTCTATTATTGTTGTTGTTGTTATTATTATTATTATTATTATTATTATTATTATTATTATTATTATTATTATTATTATTATTATTATTATTATTATTATTATTATTATTATTATTNTTATTATTATTATTATTATTATTATTATTATTATTATTATTATTATTATTATTATTATTATTATTATTATTATTATTATTATTATTATTATGTTGAACTTTCCAAACTTTTCCAAACCGACTCCAGACAAAGTCGATTTGCCCTAATCAAATTTTCTAAGTGTTATTGTACTTGTGAGCAAGAGTCTGTAACCTTGGGTCTGATACGATTTATATCAGCACCTGAATCTGGGTTCTAGCCAAAGATTATTCTAGGAGGTACCTAATTAAGAGGAAATCCTAATAAGGTAGGTACAGGAGAAGGAAGGTTAGATGGGGATCAATGGCTCTGATACCAATTGTGGTGTGAACAGTAAAAGTGAACAGTAAAGTAACGTGAATATATATATATATATATATGTGTGTGTGTGTGTGTGTGTGTGTTTGTATACGTATGCTATATGCAGAGTATCAATATGCTGGGAAAAACCATAATGACGGAAATATGCAAAGAAAACTAGAAATAGTAGGAAAGCAATGTAACGGAAATATATTACCGATAGTACTTACAAAAGGAGATCGAAAATACTTTGAAAACAACACTCTTGCTCACAAGTACAATAACACTTAGGGCAAATAGTATTCATAGTTTTAAAGTAGACCCTGTAGACTAATGCTACGTTTCCCGATCCTGGTTTCATGTCGAAACCTTGGGTTTGTAGCCTAAGGATTAAGGCTTCATGTATCCCTAGGTCCGTTAGTGATACTGAAAAATTAGGGAAAGCATTGAAATAGATAGGACCTTGGTGAAGACTTCCTTCTATGACTCCTAATAACAAATCGTTGAACTTATTATGTCTTGAGTCTATCAAATAGGCTAAAGCTGTTGTTTGGAGACCTGATCTTGTTAATGGTTTTATGGCTACTCGGATTAAGCCAAAGTGTATAAAATGACAATTAGGCTTCTTTTTATAGTTTTCTATTACTCGTCTATCTATAAGGGGAAAGGTTTCTGATTCATTTCCTATATCTATAGTTCTTTCTACAGTTCTTACATTAAGATCTGTTTTTAAGCTAAACATACCTCTCTTATAAATTTCTGAAGGTGCAACCTTGGGTATGGTCCAATTTTGTAAGGATTTTTCTATATTACTATAGTTTACTTCTTCTACATTTTTTATCGACATCGACTTTGTCAGGGACGAACTTGTACCACTCTTGTCAGGGTTTTCTTTTACACTAGAGGTTGTCCTGAATAGTTTCTTCATCTTATCCTTTCACTTCACCATTTAATTGTCAGTCAACTGCAATGGCCTTCAATTTTTTATAGCCTAAACGTGACTTCGACCTTGGTTCAAGGGTTCTAGTCTTGGTGAAATTGACAAGTGTTTAGGCTATCCAACTTGGATCCTAGCCAAGTGATATCTCCGAAGAAACTACAATCTCTAGGTTCTAGCCAAAGATTCTAGGAGGTATCTAGTTAAGAGGAAATCCTAATAAGGTAGGTACAGGAGAAGGAAGGTTAAATGGGGATCAATGGCTCTGATACCAATTGTGGTGTGAACAGTAGCAGTGAACAGTGGAGTAACGTGAACATAGATAGTTAACAAAATAATAAAATAAAAGCAATAATAATTTCTATTATTATTATTATTATTGCTACGTAGACCATTTAGTCAATGACCATTTGTTATTATTATTATTATTGTTATTTTCCCAAAAGGCCAAAACATTGTTGAATTAGTCAATGACCCATTGGCTCAAGTGATTAAATCATTGTCTAATATGACCTGGATAATAGTTTTGGGGGCTAAATTTTTACTTTTTGTTTGTTTTTCATCTTTTTTAATTTTTAAAACATCACAGGCTAATCAATTCACACCAAAGAATCAAACTATTGACTCAAAAACTAGTGGCTAAAGCGATTTCAATTTTAAGTCACATTTTAAAACATTGATTGTTATTGGGTCATATCAGGATACTTATGGGTGTCTTTTGGAAAACAAAATACGTAATCATTACAATAAAAAAATAAATGCTAAATTAAGGCTTAACAAAAAATGTTAACGAATGCTCTTAATTCCTCTGAAATGGTATGGTAGCTCTTCAACATTAAGCTTAATTAAGAGCTATCGAATAAGGTCAAAGATAGGTTATCCTTGGTACTACTGGTTAGGAATACCAGTTTTAAGGGATTTTTTGGGTACTCGACACCAATAGGACCTATTTATCAAAAGTTTGAGATGGGTTTGTCCTTAGGATTACGTTTGTTTCTGTGTAAATATCGGATTATAGGAGTTTTACACTTTGGGCGTATAGATGAAATGTTAATTTCCATCGGAAATTGATGTAAAACTCCTCGTAGGTCAAGTTTTACATTGATAACCGAGGGGAATCACTCTTCTAAAAATGATGTGAATATTTACATCGATAAGAACCACTTTTTTAAACCAATGAGTGCAGGGCTCCTCCAATCTCGTATTTACTCCGCATTCAAACGCATGTATATTATAAACCCATGTATATAATATTATTAAGTTTGAAAAAATCTACAATGTTGGGAAGACATATTGGAAGAGTTTTGATCAATAATTGCAACCATTTGTGATGTGTTTGGGTACCGTTTATGTTTATTGAATAAACGTTTGTACTTTATTTGCTGGTAAAACCGAGAAATGCAATAATTGCAACCGTTTATGACAACTGGGTGCTACTTTAGCGTAACAGTGAATAAACGCCTAGCCGTTTGTGGAAACTTCAAAAAATAACTTCTACAAACAACTGACATGCACATAAACCAAAGTTCACTTTTTATACTTTCAATGTATGCAGAAGAGCAAGAGAGAGAAAATGATGAGATGGCGCCTATGTGGAAACATCAACAAGCATTTACTGAATTAACGTAAATGGTACCAAACATCAACATAGGTGTTACCATTTATTAGGGCGAGTCGTGTTGTTTGGTTGGGGCATTTAACGAAGTAAAAAAAAATAGCAATAAACATCTACACCTCGATTTTTGTGAGCCCTACTATTGTAGGCAATGGTAAATTTGGAGTTTCCTCCAATGCCCTTGTTGCCCCCAACGGCTCATCGATATGGAGCCAATGTGGATCTCATGTGTCCGGTGTCATGCATGAGACCAGATCTGCTCCTCATTGAGTGTATCTCACATCAACCTCACAAGCACATCCCATCATGTATTAAGAACATCTCCCATATTTGTATTATTATTCATGGGAGATGTTTCCTGTTTCCAATAGATGGGGATGTGTCTATGAGATCGGTGTGAGGTGCACTTTGTGAGGAGCAGATCCCAATTCCCCATGCATGCATTTTAAATCATCACGTACATCCTACTGCCATTGCTACTCATTAGTTGTTACTATCGTTCCTCCCGCTGCTACTCATAATTGTTCTTACTCGTCGGATTCACATCGCCGGTGAGTATCTTGGGTTAAAACCCCACCAGATCTCTTTCTTCATTAAATAGTTGGATGGATTTGATTTTGAAGTTTTTTTTTTGTTCAATTTTTCTTCTCTGTGCCATCAACCCACCGTTGCTCATTAATTCCTCCTACTAGTACTTGTCACTGTCATTGATCCTCGTCGGATTCACATCCCCGATGAGTATTTTGGGTTAAACACCTGCCAAATCTTCTCATCTAAGTGTGTAAAGGGTTCCACACCAGACTTGTCAAACCCAAATCTTGAGAGTCTCCTTAATCCTCGATTCAGGAGAACGAACCTGATTTTGTTCTCGAACTTAAAGGTTCCATTTTTTAGAAGAGTTAACGGCGTTGATGCAGTTGGTGTCCTGGCTTTCCCCTTGGATATGATGTATGGGCTACTCCCGTATCAGTTAACAGTCTCTGTCATAGCATTCCCCTTGGATATGATGTGCGTGCTTCCGCAATACCTGAACTTCTAAAAAATGTCTATTTCTATCGTTAACAGTCTGTCAATTAATTTTGGAAATGTCAAAACTAAAACTAAAAGACAATGTTTGTTTATTGTTTTTTACCTTGAAAAAGAAGATGGAAATGTTGATCTAACAAGTTTTATGGTTTTAAATAATTATCTATGTTGCGGTGGTTAAGAGGATTGTACGGGGCACTGACGATGATGGAATATAATGCTTTGACATGTAATTGATAATTTCATGTACGAATTAGTAACGATTCTGACAATAAATTTACAGTATGAATGATTGAAAT